CTGGTGGGAGGGTCCATAGGTAGAGATAAGAAGAAGAGCGGACTTGTGAGTACTTTGTGAATTCATTTTGTTTTTAAAAAGGCAAGTATCTAGATTCTAAGGAAAAGAAGGCAAGGGCACAGATGCAGGAAACACCAGAAAGAGGGGTAGGAAGGAGCAGCAATGCCGTATATAAATTAAAGAGGGAGGGACAACGTGGTGTCTCGGAATCCCAGAACAACCTTGAAAGTAAAGTGACCAATGATGAGATTGCGTATTTTTTTTTCATGCAGAAAGGCCTAGAAATGTGTGAAAGCAAATAGAATCAAGAGGATTTTAAGTATTAGGTATGGTAGGCTTTGGAGCTTGAGTCACAACATAACTAGCTTTAAAAGAGATGGTTGTGGAGAAGAATAAAGATACTCTCCCCCTCAGACACCAAGAAAGAAAAAGAAAACTATGAGAAAAGGATTAATGAGAGTAAAAAAATGTATAAAAATTAAAGTGCTACATTCTTTTGAGAGAATAGGTGGAGAGATGATATGCCAAGTAAGGGGTAGGACAGCTGGGACTAGGGGCACAGAAAGAGAAAAGGTCTAAAATAGCTCCCTTGGTGAAAGAGCCTGGGAGTACAGAAAAGACAATTAAAAAGACTGCCAAATGGCAGCAGAGAGCAGATTGAAGTTTGAAAGCATCCAGTTCTAATGAGCCAAATCTGCAATGCTGTTTGCCTCTAGCAGTGCTCTCTCTTGAGAGAAGAAGCAAAGAGAGCAAGAGTTAGAGGTAACCTGTATTTAGTAATTGGCTGGATGAGCAAATAAGTAAAGGTTATTAATAAAGAGGCAAATCTTGTGTTCCTTGTTGGCAGTGAAAATCCACTCATTTTAAGCAAGGAGGGTAATAATGGATGAGTGTGATCACTGAGGAGTATTTCCAAGGGAGGCGGGAAAGTAATTATTGTGACTCCCGAGCTGAAGACTGAAACTTTCAAGAAAACTAGAAAGCTTCCAATTCCTCAACTCCCCTTGCCCCAGCCCCAACCATTCCTGCTGAGACCACAGGAATGAAAAGAACCAAAAACTAAATGAAATCAGAAGATTCTTGTCAGAGGTGAAGTGAGGAATTATGTGTGTGCATCGTGTACGTTTGTGCACGGGTTTATGAGTGTGTCGGGGATAAGCAGGGATGATGTAGGTATTAGATCAATGCAATAAAAAAGTGGCACTGTCTAAAGTTTTATTCACTTCCAGAACACTGGGGTCATTCATTTTTAAATAAACAGCTTACAAAAACAAAAACAAAACAAACCCAAAACTAATTCTGTGTTGTTGTTTTTTTTTGTTATACAGAGTTTAAGTTTACTAAATTATTACTTTCATATAAATGCAGGCTTTGCTTTCTAATCAAATCTTAACACTTCTTGTTGGTGTGATGCAAACATCATAGTGCAGAGGGGGCACCCCCACCTCTCTGACTTCTCACCCAACTCTGCAAACTTTTCATCTGCCCTCACCACCTCTGCCTTGTTTTAGTTCTTGGAATCAGTCAAGCTAATTCTCGACTCAGGGCCCTTGCACCTGCTTTCACCAGACCTGCCACGTTCTCCCTGAAGATGGGCCCAGGATTTCCTTCTAGACACTCCAGTCTCTGCTTAGGTGTCACCTCCTCAGAGGTAATGTCCCTAATTCTATCAACTTGAAGTAGCCTAGGATGTATTCTTTTTTCCCATCATGTTGTTTTGTTTTGTTTTTTATTCTTAACACATTTTATCTGATAATATCTTGATTTTTTTATGTTGTTATGTAGTCTGCCTCCTCCAATGACAATATAACCTCCAGGAGGAAAGGGATTCTGCCTGTCTTGGTTGCCACTATATCACCAGCATTTCAAATGCGTCTGAGCACACAGTACACATCCAAGTACTTGTCTAAATGAATAAGTAAATCATTAAAAAAGTTTAGTAATTTAATGCTAAATATGATGGACAGTTACACCGAGTAAATATTTATTCACAAGACTGTGTTACAAAAACAAAAGGGGTAAAAATGGTATTATTGCTGTATCAAAATATTCCAAAATATCTTATCTGTCTTTTTCTAAGCAATAAATATTAGGAGAAAGTAAAATTTATTGAAAGGGAACAAACAGAGGAGGAAACATCCTTAAAAATGAGTCTACATAAATTTCAGTAAGATGATAAATGATCAAATGGACATAAAAATGTTTATGTTACTTTTACCAAGCTCAGGGGGGTCTGAAGATATAGACATTTTATAACATTTGAACAGTGTGGGATTTGATTAGCTAGAACAAATATAAAAACAAAATGTCAGATAAATTTTTCATGAAATAATTTATATAAATTGTTTATAAAGTTTTTGCTGTTTGTCTTGCTATACTAGACCTAGAAAACAATTTAGAGGTTATGAGGAAGCAGATTTTAATTTCTTCATAGAAAGGCAATCTCTAAATAAGAAATTCGGTCTCCATTCAAGTTTTCATATTTTCTATGAAAAATATTCTCTGCAAGTTCATTACATTGTTGTTGTTCTGTTTTAAAAGGGAGGCAGAAGGAAATATTAAAATAAAACCTACAGTCTTAACAAATAATTTAATATTACAAAACTTATAATACCTCATGTAAGACATTATACACTAACCGTGATCCTTTGAAATATGAAGACATGTAAGTTACATCAGGAATACATAGGTAACTGTGAAATACAGCCTGCTTCAATATTCCCTTAAGATGTCTATGTACAGGTCAAAAACCAAAATAATTAATAAGGTAACCTCAGACAAATCCAATTTGAGAGGCATTCTACAAAATAACTGGCCTGTACTCTTCGCATATATCAAGGTCAAGAACACAGAGTAAGACTGCAAAACTATTCCATCTTGAGACTAAAAAGACAAGCAAACAAATGATCAGTGTACTCCTTAAATTGATGTTAAACCAGTTATTATTCAAATTACTAGAACAACTAATGACATCTGAATATGGACTGAGAGCTAAGTGGTTAGTAATTGCACCATTGTTAAACTGCATTGTCATTTTTTAGGAGGATGTTCTCATTCTTAAGGAAAAAACAGAAACTAGAGATAAATAGGAAAAATGAATGAATAGATTGGTGGATGGAAATAATAAAGATTTTTGAGGCTGTCAAGTGAAACAAAAACTTTACTCATGTCAGTGACTAGAATAATAAAGAAGCAATTGGTAAGTTATAAGCAGTTGAATCAAGATAGAAGCATATGCTATAAAAAATAAACCAATTAAAATTGTAGCATCTGTTGTTTAAATTCTAACAATATATTATTACATCAATAAATAAGATGACTAAAAATTGTAATTGAAATAAAATATTTTTTTAACTAAAATCCTTTGTAAATTGATTGTATTTTTATCACTATATGGCATTTTAGAAATTCACTATGGTATCATTTAAATTTTAAGTTTAAAAAACTAAATCAAATTTCAGATATAGATTGATGAGTTAAAAATGTACTCACTATTCTTAAAATCTTAATTTTTATTTTTTTAAGATTTTATTTACTTATTTTTAGAGAGAGAAAAAGGGAGAAAGAAAGAGACGGGGAGAAATAGCAATGTGTGAGAGAAACATTGATTGGTTGCCTCTTGCATGCGCCACCCCAACCTGGGACCACACTTGCAACTCAGGCATGTGCCCTAACTGGGAATCAAACCAGCAACCTTTCACTTTACAGGAGGACACTCAACCAACTGAGCCATGCTGGTCAGGGAAAAAATCTTAATTTTTATAATTATCATTATAATTATTATAATAAAATGCTAGAATATGACAAACAGTTTCACAGTGGTTACCATATGATTCTTATTTAAAAAAAGAAAAAAGAAAAGAAGCTTATAGAGATTAAGTATCTGCCCCAAATTTCAAACAGGTGTTATGTTACAGGTGTGGAAAAATTACAATGCCTTCTACCCCTTGCTCCTCAGACAAAGCCATCTACCAAGGTGAGAGATGCTTGATTATGTAAAGTTTCCCACCTAGGTGTGAAGCTTGAATGTTTCCATGTTACTGCCAATGTTACTCTTAATAATACTATAGTTTATATATAATAACTAGCATTTTAAGATTGTTAAAATAATATTGGTTAAAAAGTAGAGAGATAAAATATGACTTGCTTTCTCATTACTTGTAAAAAGGGTAAAACTCCATTGAGATACACATATATACATACATATATGTATATTATTACATTGATATTGTATTATTTGTCTCAGACACCTGTCAGGTTCCAAACTAACTGGACAATGCCTAGACTCCAAACCATATACTCTGATTTATTGCTGCTTCCCTTTTGACAAGAGTAGCAAATTACATTTGAGGCATACCAATGTTATTTTTCATCTTAGCAAATTAACATACGACATGCAGCTATCCCAAAACAGAAAAAGAAGAAAAATAGCCTTTAAATTTTTTTTGGTCAAGGTTCAGCTGGGGAAATCTACTGACCCACTTTGAAATTAAAATGCTGCTTTAGCACATATGCCCACACAGGCATGTGCACGCGCACACACACACACAGGAAATTTTCCACTGAGGTTGCACATAGTAGCATATCAAAGCTCTATCAGCGACAGCCTGAATCACCATCCCCTAGGCAAAAACGTGCATGCTGAGTTCAGGCTGCTCACTAATTATGCTGAATTTACTTTAACCTTAAATCTTTAAAGAAAAATTGTCATTATTGAAAATCCAAGATTGTAATAAAAACATCATAATCATTTTTAAGGAGACATCTCAGTTGCTTTTTTGCAGTTAGTAACCCTTGTTAATATTACATCTGTAATCATCACCACAGCAAATCTTCATATTAAAAATAGTATCAATTTAATATTACAAAGAAATAAGAGGCAAGTCATTGCTTTCATCATTGTGAACTGAGAAATTTAACCCAATTCATGACAAGTATGGTATATATAATATCATGTCATTATGAAATAAACTTGATGGCATATCTATGTTTTTACTCACCAGTTGTTTCCACAATGCCTTCTAGGATGACGACAATCTCGAACTGTTCACTTTGCATGCTTCGCTGGGATAGGTCATAAAAGGGGCTTTTGGCATCGATCACGTGGCAAATCGTGAGGGGGGAAACAAGAAAAAGTTGATCTGCCCCTGTACTAAAACCTACATCCAGTTCAAGTTGATCAAGGGGAAGGAACTCACCCTCAGGTGTCTGCCGAGACTAGACAAGCACACAGAAAAAGAGAAGAAATCACCACTTGTACTGAAAGTTTCAAGGCACTCCAACAGTAATTTACATCATTGCCAACATTCTGCACTATCAATCATCTGAAACAAACTCCAAACAAATCATTATGCAGCTATGTTCTGGCAAATGGGCCGAAATCCCACATAGCTCATGTGAAACATCCATGCATTATTTATAAATATACAACTTACTATAATTACCATTTCCTAACTCATAAGCTTTGGAGAAATGCCTGGTCCAACAATGGCTGTTAGTACAAACTGTGCAACTGAATGTACATGTGCTACTGCTTGACATAAATCTCTGCATGATAACTCATTTCAGGCCAGATTTTTTTCTCACAAAGCAAATAAGCAGGTAATTCTTATGGAGTTTGTTAAAGCTGAAAAAGGTTGGTCATAATTTAAAAAAAAAAACAAGATTTACTTCATTATCACAAAGCAAAACTTAACAAATTATTTTCCAGGACTTTTGAAAAGTAAAAAATATACATAAACTAGAATAGAAAAGTATAGATGCTATCACATTAAATTATGTTATGTATACAACAGTTCACATTAAAAATAAAAAGCACATGCTGTTAGCTTTCAAACTCCTAATAATAAACTGCATTAAAGTTGTTCACTTCTCTATTTTATTAATTTTAAAATAGAGTGCAAAATTAGGCTAAACTGAGGTTTTTAAAATCAAAATGCAATTTCATAATCTACATTGGATAGACTTATGGTTTACTAAAACTTTCATAATGCAGTAGCATTAAGTATCAGTATAAATTACTGTAAACTTAATTGAATATATTGCTTGCATGTTAAACTCTGAAAGAAAATAAATTTAGCTATTTAAAATTAGGAAACCATGAAAGTAAACCTATATTTCTTTTCTATTCATTTTCACTCTCTTTTCTATATCGTTACTTATATGGATCATGTATAAATAAATATTAAAGTTTAATTTATATAATGACGCTGATAAAATAAAGGCTGTGTTAAAAAAGTTGCACACTGAAAAATTTATTTGGTGGGGTAGGGGGGTTGAATAGGGCTTGCAAACATCCAATATGTTTTAACAGGCTCTCTGTAAAGCTAATTCAATATACTAAACAGAATCTGTAACAGGTTTGTCCAATGAAGTGGTAGTTTGAAGACAAAATCCTTACTCTCAGAATTCCAAAAACATACATTGGCTTTTAATGTGGAGTAAATGAGTGTGAAAACACCAAGAAATGTGGTTTTAGCAAGATGTCCTCCATGGCAAAACAGAACCAAGATTTTCAAATGGGTGGGGGACTGATAAGACAGCAATCGCTACAAAGAGTCTCAACAGCAGAATTATTCAATTACAGAGACTACTTTGTAATTAATGATACTCAGAAATTTTAATTGTGTAGAAAGAGATCCAATAAAAACATTGAGACTATTTTTTTCTCTATCCTGTGAATAGTTCATTTTTTTAAAAAAAAGACAAAAAAAATTACTGATAAGAAAGAAAAATCCATAGAAAACCCTAAAAGTTAAAAAGTAAAAACAGCACCTCTACCAATCAATGTTAGATAAAACTAGGTATTTCTAAGCCAATAGAAGTCACCTATGTTTCTAAACCTATCCTCAAATCATTACAATATGGATGAGATCAGTATCTTTCAAACTACACAGTTGCATAATAAGTACTGATTACTGTAACACAGTAATAAGCCAAAATTCAAACAAATATAAATAAAAACAAAAACCTGTGTCATTGTTCTCTCACCGACTAAGAAACAGGTGCTATATGAACACAAGGTGGTATTCTGATGTTTATAGTTAATGAACAATGGACCATTTACTATTTTAAGCTCATCTTTTTCAGTACTTAAATGAAGGTATTCACAAAAATAATCCTTTAAAAATTCAATTTCCCATTTATTTAAAAATCATTTTCCCTAAAGGAGAAATATTTTTCTAATGATTATATATGTACCTCAAAATTAAAGTTCATCTTCCTTTTATATGTACTTGTTATTTACATCTGTGCCTCATTCTAAAAGCTTTCAAGTAAGCAATTAACCTTTCCACTCCTTGATCGTTCAACAACCTATGTAAAGAAGTGCCCTAGAAACAGGCAGCCTATAAGAAGAATGCCAACCTAGAGTATAAAATACTTTGTTTTTAGCAAAGCAGTTCATTCATAGATAGGTAATTTAGACTTAAATATGCATGAACATACTCTGTTCAAACTCCATGTACTTTCTGATATTAAAAAATCTGTGCTATATTCTCAAAATTATACTTAACCCCATCCCCTTCAAAGCTGTATGTGCTTATCCAAGTATTGGTAACTTGACAGCTATACATATTATACACCACTTTGGATAAAGTATAACACTATATCTCTTTGAAATATATTTTTCATGTGTATATATTTTTTAGGTAAGTGAAATTCCCTGCATACTCATTGTAATTATTTCCCAATGGACACTATATAGTTTACCCTTCCTTTAAGTGACTCTGAAATACTACATATATCCACAATTTTATCTCTCAGGTCTTCTTTATTTAGGCCCTCAAATATTTCAACTGCAAATATGCTTACCTCCCTGATTTTTGTTTGCTTCTTTTTCTCTGTAATAGGCTGAGAGCTTATAAATCACTGTAAATTAAATGGGACACTTTTCTATTTATAAGAGCAAAGAATGTGGTTTTAGTGTGGAAGATACTTGAAGTCATGTTATTGTTTCAAGTCTGAGCTCCCGGTTAGAGCAAGATTATGTCATCAATGCTCAACCAAATTCTTATGATGTTCCGGAAACCTACATGTGCCTACACAGTCACAATACATTTTCAGGAGTATACACTTCTACTCTAGGCTTACAAAAAATTTTAATCGAAGTTTCTTTTTTAATTCTGATATAATTTCAGAGTTTTCTGGGGCAAAGGGGTAAAAATGCTCAGTTAGTTTTAAGTCTCTTGATTTTTATAAGGAGAGAGAACGTTTGTTCAAGAAACTGTGATATACATATGTGTAAGGAAAGAGAAAAAGAGGAGTCATGTATGTGCCTTTATAAAATTAAACCATGATCTTTACCTTGAGTTTATAATAAATCAGTAACATTGATATTGTATCAGTTTCTGATACTCTTTAACTATCAATTACCATATTTGCCCAGAAATTTTTATAATAGGCAGAAGAAATTTTAGAAAAAAAATCTAATTTGACCTTTATTATGTTATCTAAAGAATTTTGGTGTAAGATGAAATATTCCATTTATAGAACAATTTGTAGATGGTCCAAATTATCTCTGTTAGCTCTATAAATCTCCTAATTTCAAAGAGAACACAAAACCATACTCATTTTCTAGATAAAAATCTGTAGACAGTCAACAATCATTCAAAACAATTGCTAAAGAAGGAGACTGATGCAGTAAATTATTGAATTTCTAAAGAGTGAATAACTCAAGTTGAGTTCCATTGATGAAATAATCACTTAGAATCATAAAATCACTGAGTGAACAAGAAAGTGTAAAGAGGTGGAAGGAAATTCATGGGAAATTGGTAATTCTTAAAAATTTAGAGCATAATTTGAAAACACTAGAACTGGCAGTGGATTTCATACAACTTTTATTTTCAATTGTATGGAATTTGGGGAAGGCAATAAATATCTTCCCACTACTTGAAAGGCTTTCTGGTTGACTGAATTATAACAAATGCTGGGTGCTAAGAGAAAAATCATAGAAATCTAAAACTTGTTTATCCTCACTGTACAAAATATTCTAATTAGGACATCATGGATTTTTGAAATGATTTTGTACAATTTAGGTTGTGAAAATCATTTCTAAGTTATATTTTCTAAGGAAAATATTGCTATTTAAAAGTAGCTCTTCTATTTATACCCATTTTAAATTGTATGCAAATAAATGTATGTGTAGAATTTAAGACTTGTTCCTCACGTTATAGTCATAGGTAGATGCTAATTTCAAAGAAGCAGTTAATGTCAAATGACTTTGAACTGAGAGTCCAAAAAAGGTCTACAAGATAATTATTTACAATTCTGACTGCAGGTGGAAAGAATTCAAGTCACAGATGCCTAGAAGGGACTATCATGACAGTCCCCTATCATGTACTTTACTTTCATATTTCAAATGGAAAACTATCGAGTACTTGTTCAAAAACACATGCGCACACACACACAGAACTAGGCTGCACATTTAGCACTGCCCTGACATAAGCAGATCTACATTTCTCCAATCTCCTTCTGGGAGGTTTATGAGCAGTTGTCCACACTCATTTAGCAAGAACACACTTCTAGACAATCAATAGCTTTGCTACCTTTCTCTCATCCCTCTAACTTACACTCTGTTCTAATTATAACCACTGTGCTTTTTCCCAGCTCCAAAGGAGGCTCAGGGAATTATGAATAAAGCATTTAATCACTAACATCTGAATCAGGAGATCTACCTCTGTCATATTCTAAGGCTTGATCCACACCCCATCACCTCCCACAAGTCTCCACTGCAAAAAGGCACTGAGGGCCAGTGGTTAGGAAAGGGGAAGAAAGAAAAGGAAATGAGGCACCGTTGGAAAGGGCAACCATTCTTGCCTACCACTTCCCCATGGTTTTCTCAGTGATAATTTCACTCCTCTTCTTTAAGTGTGTGTGTGTGTGTGTGTGTGTGTGTGTGTGTGTTGAATATGTGGTGAAATCATGAGGAAAACACATGGAATGAGGTCAGAGTACTCTCTGGAAGCTCAACTTAGGAAATGAGCCAAAAGGCCGGCACCAGAAAAAGGACGCAAAAATGCCTTGCAATTCAAAGTGGCTCTGATAATGGTTTGGGGTATCAGATCAAAATTAAAGTCTGGTAGAAAAGTGTGTCTATGATAATTTTATTTGGACCATCTACAGTTAAGTTGTACATTTCTTTTGACTCCTTCAGCTTACCGTTCCATCAATATTCAGGTAGAAACAAACTATGACCAACATTAAGTCTAAAATAAAGA